TTTGATAAAACACTAATTAAGACTCATGGAAAAGACTATCTAAATAAACCATCCTGGTCAGTAAGACTTCATACTAAGAAGACGTAGATAAGAGGAAGGAAAGAAGAAGAAAAAGAGAAGAAGGAGGAGGAGGGAGGAGGAGGAGGAGGAGGAGGAGGAAGAAAGGAAGGAGAAAAAAAACTGATAAAAAAGAAAAAATATGAAAATATGACCTCCCATCCCAACACACACACACACACACACACACACACACACACACACACACACACACACACACACACACACACACACACACACACACACACACACACACACACACACAGAGTTCAAAAAATTCCCAAAGGTCGTAAAGCTATCAGAGGCAGTTGGCACGACTGAAGCAAAACTCTCGCCAAACACAAGACTATCATATGAATTTATCCCTCTCGTTAACCTTTCTTTAAAATCTGAGAAAAGAGAGAGAAGAAAAATTTAAAGGAAAATCATCATCCTCTTTCCTCCCTCCTTGGCCCTCCTCCTCACCTTCCTCCCTCCTCCATCCCCTCTTCCCTCCACCCCACCCCCCTCCTCTCCTCCCTTCCCGTCGACTCTCCTCTCTCTCTCTTTCTCTCTCTAATTTCCACTTTATTAAAAACTTTTCCATAAATTTAATTATTTGTTGCGGGTGTGTAGAGTTGGTGGGACCTCGACTTGTTAAAATGGGCTGGATAATTATGTGAAAGGGGAAGAGTTATTTCTTACTGCAGTGTTGGGTTCATTCTCTCTCTCTCTCTCTCTCTCTCTCTCTCTCTCTCTCTCTCTCTCTTTCTGTGTTTTTTCTCATTTTCTCTTGACTTACAAAAATCGAGAGAATGAAAAGATCGAGACAAAAAGAGAAGAAAAAGAGAGAGAGAGAGATTTATCCCAGATATATAAAAAGTAATGAAAAAGTCAGGCGTCACTATATACCTGTGTACGTTAATTAAAACATTCCTACATTACGAGCGAAATACACGTGGACCCGGGTACTCGTGGACTCAAAGCACACGTGGACCCGGGTACACGTGGACTCAAAGCACACGTGGACCCGGGTACACGTGGACTCAAAGCACACGTGGACCCGGGTACTCGTGGACTCAAAGCACACGTGGACCCGGGTACACGTGGACTCAAAGCACACGTGGACCCAGGTACACGTGGACTCAAAGCACACGTGGACCCGGGTACACGTGGACTCAAAGCACACGTGGACCCGGGTACACGTGGACTCAAAGCACACGTGGACCCGGGTACACGTGGACTCAAAGCACACGTGGACCCGGGTACACGTGGACTCAAAGCACACGTGGACCCGGGTACTCGTGGACTCAAAGCACACGTGGACCCGGGTACACGTGGACTCAAAGCACACGTGGACCCTGGTACACGTGGACTCAAAGCACACGTGGACCCGGGTACTCGTGGACTCAAAGCACACGTGGACCCGGGTACTCGTGGACTCAAAGCACACGTGGACACAGGTACTGAGAAACTGCAGGTCACTTAAGAACACCACATTCTTGCTCTGAGATTTACCATACAGTCAGAAAAAATATTACAGTGCCATCCTGTAACTTAAGCTCAGGAATTAGAGGCATGGAATGGTTACAAAAAATGGTTACAAATTTACTATAATACTTTCATAAATCTGTAGTAATACTGTATTAAGGAACCTGAGACTATACTGTATATTTATTTAGTGGTAGGTGTGTGGGTCGGGTGCTCTGTGAAATACATAAAACCTCCGTGTAACATACAGAACTTTGAAGCTTCTACAGAAAACTTTGTGGTTGTTCGAGGTTGTAAGAAGAGATGCTACAAGTCTCTTAGGATATAGTCGTGAGTCTACACTGTCATCATCATCTGCATAACTGTATTAAGGAACCTTTGATGTTTACAGTTGTTGGTTCTGCTGCGACTATACTGTATATTTACTTTAACACAGGTACACAGATTGTTTTAATGCACGCGTGTGTCAGTGAATAATGATGTTCTACACCCGTGTCCACCTGCTTGTGAGACGAGCATGCTCACTATTACACCATTGGACAGGGTGAAACTATGGGTAAGTTTATTCTAACATCATTTGCCACTGTCTACCCAGCAGTAATTGGGGACCTGGATATTATTTTATTTACGGATCGTGTTTCCGGTTGTCTGGTTGTCTGGGATTACTCCTTGACACTGGTTCATACAGCTCGTTAACTTTGTGGTTGTTCTGTTGGCGACAGCTTCTACACTTTAAACACTGGGTCATGCAGCTCGTTAACTTTGTGGTTGTTGTGTTGGCGACAGCTTCTACACTTTAAACAATTTCAATTGCCTAGGTGGCCCTTGGACCGGCCATACTGGGAAACGAGAGATAACCATTATTATATTATATTCTGCATCAGGTTTTAATTGTGCCAAACGTATCATTAAGTCTCTCTCTCTCTCTCTCTCTCTCTCTCTCTCTCTCTTCCTTTATCTATACACAATTCATTACGAAATATAAAGAAACTCTCTCTCTCTCTCCTGGGTCTACCACAATGAGGAATCTAATGTTTATATAATGAGTATATAATGTTCCCACGTAAATGAGACAGGGTGGGAGGGAGGTGTTTGGTTAAAGAAAACAATTATATATATATACCAAACACACACCTGCATCATTGTTTACACCTTGCATTTTAACATTACGCTGTTAATTAACCTTCCCGTACCTGTGTGGCTGTCTACCTGTCTGTCTGTGTGTGTCTGAATGTCTGTCTATCTATCTGTCTGTGTGTGTCTGAATGTCTGTCTATTTGTCTGTCTGAACTAAGTGTTGCCTTAATAATAGCTCATGGAATTGATTTTTTTTTCGGAGGGGGATTAAAGAAAACGTTGATATGAGACACTTTTCAGGGGTGACTACATTAATTTACAGTTAACAGCATCACTAGTTCAATATTTATCCAACCATGGTATCGATTAGCAGGCAGGTTAAGGATTAGTTTTCATTTAAGGGTGATTAAAATTCTTTTTGTTGTGTGTGTGTGTGTGTGTGTGTGTGTGTGTGTGTGTGTGTGTGTGTGTGTGTGTGAAATAAGACTAATAACACAATGATAAAATACCACCCCTCCACACAACACACCCTTATCCCCTCCCCACACACCCACGCCCTCCACACTCCACCACACACTCTCTCACACTTTGCTGAGTCGAATTTATGCACCAAATGGCCTGAGAACTCTAGCAAAAGGACGACCCCCCTCAAAAAAAAAAGGAAAACGGAAAATATCAGTAAAAAAAATGGATCCGCTGACAGAAGTGAGCTCTTGCCAGACACTGTAATATATTCCAAGTTGATCTACGTCCAGGGCTTGATGCTCCTGTTGTGAGTTTTTATGTCATAGAATCTGCTGGACGTGAGATACAGACTGAGTGGTGGAGTCTTTCTTTCTTTCTTTCTTTCTTACTTTCTTGTCTGTGTATGTTTACGTGTATGTATGTGTATGTGTGTATGTATGTGTGCATGCATGTGTATGTGTGTGTGTGTGTGTGCTTGTATGTGTGTGTATATATGTATGTATGTATGTGTGCATGCATGTGTATGTGTGTATGTGTGTGTGTGTGTGTGTAAAATAATCTACACAAACCAGTAAAATATATCACATATGATGGACTCCCCCTCTACCCTCCCTCCCCCCTCCCCCAACCCTCCCTCCCTCCCCCCACCTCCCTCTAAAAAGAAAACAGATATGTAAACAACAACAAAGAACAGCTGATGGAGCGGTAGCCAATATTATGTAAACAGACCTTATTGATCAGAGCCGCTGAGGAGACAAGATGTGACCAGAGGCATAATGTAGTGTTCAGGACCAGATAAAGAGAGTGTGTGTTCTACCCCCCTATCTCTCTATCTCTCTCTTGGTTTAATTTATTTTCTCTTCTTTCTTTCTTCTTCATCACCTTCGTCTTCTTCTATTCTTCCTCCTTCTGTTTCTTCTTTCTTTCCATCTTCCTCCTCTCTTCATTTTCTCTTTCTTCTGTTCCTCCTGTTCCTCTCTTTATTTTCCTTTTCTTCTTGTTTTACCTTGGTTCTCTCTCTCTCTCTCTCTCTCTCTCTCTCATGTACACTAAAAGCATGTCTTAATGGTGATCCTTTTACCGTGTGGCTTATGTGGCGAAAGATCAGAGAGGTCAAAGGTCAGGGGTCGGGTCAGGAGTCAGAAGGTCAGAGTGTCAGGTCAGGGGTCAGATGGTTAGGAGTAAAAATATCTAGATTGAGGGGCACAATTAAGGGAAGACTGAGGGGTAAGACTGAGGGGGTAAGAATGAGGGGTAAGACCGAGGGGTAAGACTGAGGTAGACTGTAGGAGTAAGACTGAGGGGGGAAGACTGAGGAGGGGTAAGACTGAGGGGGTAAGACTGGGAGGTAAGACTGAGGAGGTAATGCAAGACTGAGAGGAAGGGAGTAAGACTGAGAAGGGTAAGACTGAGGGGGTAAGACTGAGAAGGTAAGAGGTAGGGGGGACTGAAAGGTAAGACTGAAGGGGTAAGACTGAGAAGGGTAAGACTGAGAAGGGGTAAGACTGAGAAGGGGTAAGAGGTAGGGGGTAAGACTGAGGGGGTAAGAAAATGAAGGGGTAAGACTGAGAAGGGGTAAGAGTGTAGGGGTAAGACTGAGGGGGTAAGAAAGACTGAAGGTAAGGGGTAAGACTGAGGAGGGGTAAGACTGAAGGTAAGACTAAGGAGGGTAAGACTGAGGGGGTAAGACTGAGGGGGTAAGACTGAAGGGGGTAAGACTGAGGAGGGTAAGACTGAAAAGGGTAAGACTGAAGGGGGTAAAACTGAAAGATAAGACTGAGTTTTCTTATACATATTCATATACATGTTTACAGACACAAACACATACATACACATTAAAACACAATTATACATTCACACATAACATATACATATTAACCCCAGGAAGATACATAATCAATGAGTTTCTCTTTATACATATTCATATACATGTTTACAGACACAAACACACATACACATTAAAAACAATTATACTTACATTCACACATAAATATACATACATATTAACAGGAATAGATACACACACACACACACACACACACACACACACACAACAAACAACATCAAAAGCCATACATGTCAAAAATAGACATAACCACTATTTACTTGTCAGACACCCAACCACCACCACTTCTAACAGTCACCCTTAACGACCTAATTGCTAGTTGGGTCAGCCGATCATATGGTTGGGTGTCAGTGCCTTTAAGCGCTAAATCACCTCACTGACTCTAGGTTTGATGACCACTGGACTGGCAATAACGATGAGGGAAACCGCCAATTACAGGGTGATTAGTGCCCTTCCGCTTGTGCTGATTGGCTGAGAGGGAGGCTCGTGGGAGGGGAGAGGAAGAGAGAGAAGAGAAGAAGGAAGGGAGGGTGTCAGGCAAGGTCGTTAGGTTTATTTTCTTTGTTTGTGTCGTCAATTTTTACATTTGTGTGTGTGTGGGGGGGGTGGGGGGGTGGGAGGGGGGAGGGGAGTTTGGATATGAGAGAGAGAGAGAGAGATAGAGAGAGAGAGAGAGAGAGAGAGAGAGAGATTTCCTCCCTCTACTGATCTCTTTATTTCCTCTCTTCTCTACTAATCCCTCTGTTCTCTCCCTTTGTCTCCGTCTCTTATCTCTGTTTCCGAGTCCTTCATGTTTCTTTCTTCTTCCTTTCTTTCTCTTTGTTTGTCTCTCAGTCATTTCCCATTTATTTATTTATCACTCTCTACCTCTCTCCACACACACACACACACACACACAATTCCCCTCTGTTTGTTTGTCTGTTTTATCCTTGTTTTACCATTATGTTTATACGTGTGTGTGTGTGTGTGTGTGTGTGTGTGTGTGTGTGTGTGTGTGTATATTCACTACACCTACACCTACACTGTACACTCAGGATTAATACACACCCTCCTTACTGAAGCTCTGAAACAACTTCCCTTCTGTAGGTCTGTTTGTATGTATTTTCTACAGCAATTCCTACCAATAATAATAATAATAATAATAATAATAATAATAATAATAATAATAATAATAAAAATAATAATAATAATAATAATAATAATAATAATAATAATAATAAAAATAACCTCGAGAATAATAATAACAACAACAATAACAATCATTACAACAACAACAACAATTATAACAATAGCAACAATTACAAAAACAACAATAACAAAACAATAACAGAATCAACAATTACAACAATAACAAAGACAATAACAATAACAACCATTACAACAATAATAATAATAAAAACAACAACAATAACAATAATACTAACACAATTTATAAAGACAAAAATCCGACAAAAACAATATAAAGAAAATAAGAATAAAGACGAAAACGAAGGAAAAAATTAATCAAGAAATATGTGAAAAACCAGGAAAAAATCGGGGAAAAAACAGGAAAATTAAAACCACGAAAGAAATAAATTATAAAATAAATAGAAAAAAAAATACGCCACTGACAGTCTAGTTGGCGGTCGCTAAATCCCCGGAAAAGCATTGGCGGATATTTTAAGCTATTTACTGAATTAGGTGTACCACTGAGTTCAGCCTCTCTCTCTCTCTCTCTCTCTCTCTCTCTCTCTCACCTACAGTACTCACGCACTCTATAACCCTCACACCCACACATTCAGACTCAGTATAACCCTCCCACTCACTCACGCACTCACTCGCACACGCACTCAATCTCCCTCGCTAACCACTACAGTACATTAGCTGATTGACTGCCATCCGCTCTGGCCTTCGTTCCATTCCTCTTTCCATCTTTTTAGCTCATCATTCTTTCATTTTCT